AATGAACAGAATAGTACTAGAGACATGGCAATAACAAACAAACTGACATTGACCAGAGGGGATGGGAGATGGACATAACGAGGGAGAGTGGGAGGGTCTAGTGAAGAAATGTGTATGAAGGACCCATGGGCATGGAGAACAGGGTGGGAATTGACTGTGGAAGCAGGGGTAGGTAGGGCGGGGGAGAGCAACTGGGAGAAAGTTGAGACAACAGTAATTGAATATGAATGAAAAACAGAAATTATCATAATTTATATTGATTTGAAGGTAAATCCTATGTTTAATAAACCTCATTTTCAAAGACTGAGAACTACAATTTGTGTAGTTTACAATTTGTTTTATTACCTGCTGAAGATGACCAGTTACACTTTCCATAGTTCCTTCATAACATTCAGCACCTGGCAATGATATGATTTGTTTAAAAGATACCTTTGTACTAAGCACATAAGAAGTGGAGAGACAATGTGGTGGGTGGTGTGGCTCGGTGGATTGAGTGGCCTCCTGCAAACCAAAGGGTCCCTGGTTTGATTCCCAATGAGGACCACATGCCTAGGTTGTGGGTCAGGTCCCCAGTAGGGTGCATGTGAGAGGCAATCAAACATTATGTTTCTTTCCCTCTCTCCTACCTCTCCCATATCTCTAAAAGTAAATGAATGAGATCTTAAAAAAGAAGTAGAGAGACCAGAGCAAATGGTGATTCTTTGCCTAATTTTGTCTCTAAGTATAAGGCCAAGTTTTCACTATCCTAACATTTACTTCTTTTTACAATTTAGGGACACAGTGAAAAGCAGAGAAAAAATAATTACAAAAAGAATGGCAACATATGTCATACCTGAGACTGCATAATTTTCTCCTGAATGGATATTTCCCAGATAACTCATTTTAGACTAATACACACAGCTAAGCCAATTGCTTGCAGAGTAAAAGCATCAGTCAGATGATGGTTTCTCTCTCCAATGCTATAATACAAATAACCTGTTTGATGCTATAAACACATTTCTTCATTTTATTTAAGTAAATTAAGAAATAGATTTCCCAAAAATTGAGCTTAAAACTTTAAATAATTTTGCCTTCTCCTCCCAAAATAGAAAAACTTCTGGAACCTCTTTTTTTTTCTTTTACCCAAATGCACAAGCATATCATAGCCCTAGGAGAAGTGCATTGGCTTTTCTGTCCCTTTGTGTTAATGAAGTACATGGTTTAAAGACCAACTTTTCACCCCATGATTTTCAGACCTCAATTATTTTCAAAATATAGCAGGTAATAAGTAATGATGTTGTTCATGGGACTTTCAAAAATTGCACTTATACAATGAGATCAAACCATATTAAAGAATGCATTTTCATTTTTGAAAATGCAATTTTACTTTAATTTTTATTTTTCAACTACAGTTGACCTCCCATATCATTGTAGTATAGTTTCAGCATAGTGGTTAGACCCTAATGTAACTTATGGAGTGATTTCCGAATAAGTCTAGTCCACACCGAACACATTATGTCATTATTTGAATGTTATTGACTATATTTTCTATCCTTTCCATCCCAAGACAATTTTGTAACTACCAATTTGTAGAATAATCTTTTAGAACTTCTCCTATGCAGTGGGCTGCATATCAATTGAAAGTTTTATGATCTGCAGTTTATTTGTTACCCTTTTCCCCTTTGGTAAGAACATTTCAGATCCATGTCTGAGTGAACTTCAATTATGTGATACAGTGTTATCGACTGTGGCCACCATGTGATATGTTAGATCCTTAGGCTTCTTCCTCTTATACGGGAAAGTTTGCACCTTTTACCAACTTCTTAAATTCTTACTCCCAACCCCTGACAACCATTAGTCTCTGAGTTTGTTACTTTTAAATTTCACATGTAAATGATACCATGCAGCATTAGTCTTTCTTTGTCTCATTTATTTCACTTAGGAAAATGCCTTCAGGTCCATCTTGGTCATCAATGAGAAAAGTTTATTTTTCTCATGGCTCAAAATAATTCATTGGGTGTGTAAATGTGGGTATGATTTTAGTCCATTCATCCATTAAACACACTTAGGTTGCTTTCAGACCTTAGTTACAGTGAATAATGCTTCGAGGAACCTGGGAATACAGATACTTCTTCATAATAATTGTGTCACTTTGGATATATACCCAGAAGTGAGATTGCTGGACCACATGGTACTTCCAGTTATAACTCACTACCAATAATAGATAAACATTTCCTGTTTTCTTGATACAATATGAAATGGATGAAATTAATTCCATTTGACACATACTAGATGACTTACATGTAATGTTTAATTTCTTCTGAGATTCATGTGTCATTTCACTTGTGTTTGCAAAAGTACTTTTTCTGCCATTTTCTATTTTGATTAGGTTAATTTTTTTTAAATTGTATTCATTTTCATCCTAGATAGTTATATTTTGGCTTTTGTCATTCACAACAAATATTTCTATTAAAATACAAATAGCTGTTTATGATTGGAGGATGAATTAATGAATAATAAAATGAGTAGCAATTTAATATTTCCATCTCTTACATTATAGTATAGTACAATGTTGTTTCATGTTTTCTGTTTTCAGAGACACTTATTTTTATCAGGGAGCATATAAATTCCTTATATAAAAATAACAAAATTAATGCAGCCATGTAAAAAAATGAGGGCAGAGAGATTGAGGTGGTAGGTTTGGACATTAATATTTGTGACAGTTATCCTTAGTTGAAAATGCAGATATTCCTCAGAATATTAGTGACAAATATCATTGAGTACCTATTGCTAATGAGATTGTGATTTTATCCTTTTCCATTATAACTAAGAGACAGTGAGCATATAAATAAATTTAAGTAAGGCCAGTATTTAGCAACATCATCCAACGGTAGGTTTGAAACATCTAAGATAATCTTAAGAAGGCCTAAAATTTCAGTGTTTGCAAATTTTAAGATGTAGGTAAGTTAAGAGTAGGGTGGGCAAATTTTTGTCCCAGAAATCTTTGGGAATATGCAAGTGACTTCTCAGGGGCACTTACAAATGCACAAACTAAATGACACTCGACAAGCTCACAGTCTCCTATATTCTGGAGGTGTGTGATGAGATAAACGATCTTCAAAATTGCCCAAGTGTAAGTATTTCCTGTTCAAACTTTAAGTGACACAGTGATGAGAAATCTATTTTTTTCTATACTTTTGCCTCACTCTCAGTGTTCAGGGGGCAGTCTGTGAGGACCACAGACACCGCTTGTAGATGGGAGTCAGCAGGTCTCCTGTGAAGGATGCTCAGCTTTCTGGCTTCCAGAGGTATGTGTCTCTACTCTCCTGTCTCTCTACTGACCGGATTCATTTAAGGGGAAAGTACAAATGCTAGCTGTGATACAGATGAAGTACAATTAATATATAATGAAAGAAAACACTGGTATTCACTTGTGTATACTTTAGGGTAAAGAGTAAAATTTGACAAAAATTCAAATTTTCGCCTGTGCAAACTTACTAACAAGCATACCACATGCATATTTTGGTTTGAAAATCAGGATAACTTAAATGGAAAGCTGTAAGCATCCTGACAAAGAGCAATTAACTTCTCAAATTTTCTAATTAACAAGTATAATGATATATGTGTATTACTTCATATTTAATCCAGATGATAAAAATCGATTTTTAAAATGAATTCATCAAATCATGAAGGTCAAATATAATTCTTCAAAAATGCTTTTCAATTAAATAAAAGCTGTTTGGCTTGCAGTAAAAATCAGAGCTTAGTAGTCTCTGTAAAATGGTAAACTAAAGTTAATTATAAACAATCAAAAGATTTTTTAAAATTGAACAAAACATTGCAACAAGAGATACCACATTGATAAGATACTCCTGTGGCAGGAATTGTTACACTGTCTGATATAAGTAAAAAGAGTAACATGTCAACTGTGTTATAATAATTTTCTGGAAAGCTTATAAATGTAGATTGAGTATTAAGTGTTTTACATGCATCGTATCTCACATATTTTCATTCCCACTTTAATTAGCAAACTGGGTCCCTAGACACTAATTACTAATGGTCATACATTGTGAATTTCAAAGCCAGACTGTATTACAAATCTCACTGCCTGCAGCGTCCAGTGACTGAATTATTAAATTACATTTCCTGATTCATTACATTTACCTGCACATTAAAGCTGCCTTCACAGAGTGTGACAGATGAGGGATTTTTCTGGACATTTGCAGCAATAGTTTCCTCCATAAATGATCTGCAACATGATTATTTATCATTTTGTGTGTTTTCATATCTTAACCATTAAATAAATTACAAGTTACTGGTGTAAAGTGTGTTAAATAATCCTTTAATGTTCTATTGCCTTTATTATTTATTGAGCTTTGGGTAAATTTAGTGTGTCATGTAACATTTTCAAAATACAAAAAATTTCATTAAAATTTAACTGATCTCTCAGAACTTTACAATTGTTCAAAATAAAATATTTGATAGCACCTCTTCTGTCCTTTGACCTAATAATTGTAAGTGACTAAATTACATTAATTTATTGCAGTTAATTACCATATATGCTAACACTACCATTCCTCCAACTTTAGAACACTCAGTCTTTCAACATTATTGGATTTAGAAACTGTCATTAAAATTGGTGAATTTTTAAAAATAGCATTATAATTTTCCAAGTTATTCTAATAGTGTTAAAATGTTTCAGTGGAATCTGACTTTATAAATATATTATTCTGAACTACTTTATTCTTTGCTAACTTATTACTTTTCACTGCTTCAACCAATAATATCATGTCAAAAATAGAATATCATAGAATTATCCAATTATTGTATGGGAAACATTTAAATCTCTAAGTCAATGAGAAGAAGATTTCACATTGGCCCAGTGCAAAGTGAGTGCTGTTTCTTCCCTCACCCTCCACCCACACTGACTCTCCTGGGGATCCTGTGAGTGTTCACATCACGTATTAACACTGAAGGACTGTCATCACAGGCACCATCCCCGACGTTACTCAGCTGCAGAGATGGATCTCCAGCGAGAAAACGACTCAGAACTGAATCTGGCTGAGGACTCCAGGAGACAGAAAAGGAAAGGCAAGGACAAGAAAAGTTCCATTTTACAAATCGAACAGCAAATGTCCTCTGTGGAAATAGAGTATCAAAATGCTTCTCACAATCTTCAAGGGAATGACAAGGACCATCACACAGGTGACACATTTAACAGACACACAGTAGAACTGTTCTGGGATGTGCAGTTGGCGTGAAGACGTAGGGGAAAGAGTAGGGAATTAGCTGACATATATTTTCGTTTGTGAAGATCAGAGCTTAAAGTTGCATAACAGTGTCTTAATATGAAATCTGAGCAGTGATTTATTCAGACATCGTTGTAAGGTGTAGTCTTTGATCAGCAACTCAGGGAGGATTATATTTCCTGACAATGCAATGCTATAATCTGGGGGGAAGATTGCAGTGGAAAACTTGGTTTGGGGGTGGTTCAAGTTTATTTATGTGAGTCCCCGTGTGATTTGGGTTCTCTCTCAAAACTGTGCAACCAATGTCTCCATTTGTTTCTCTCTTGCTGCAGATTCACCATCTCCACCAGAGAAGCTCATTGCTGGGATCCTGGGAGTCATCTGCTTTGTCTTGATGTACACTTTAGTCAGAATGGTTCTCTGTAAGTTATCTTTTGAATATTTTAAGAGAACTTCTCACTTTAATGAATCTCAGTGCCACTAAACATTTTAATATATTATAGAATAGAGCTTTCACTTTAAAGTAAGCATTTAGATAAATGTGGAATGTCATTCTGAGTTATTCAAGTGCATAAATAGAATGATTGTAAAGACCTTTTCATATCCATTTGTATATTTTTATTTCATTACTCAAATATATGCATTAGGAATCTAAGGACATTATTGATAAATACAAATTAATTCTTGGGATTGTTTAAACCACTAGTTTTAGAAATGGTAACATGTGATCCAAAGTCTTTTGAGATATTCTTCCCCTAAATCTTTACTTTTGTATTACTTGCTTTGGTGAAATCAATTTTCTTTCAGATTTCTCTGCTCCTAAACAATACACCAAATTTCAAACTAAGAAACCAAAATGATGGTGCTTTGATTCTATCAGTATTAATTTTTATTTTGAGAGTCACTAACATTTTCTAGGTACTGTACAACTGGGGAGGCACAATTTGTCCACAGCAGCAAGGATGGAAAAAGATACATTATTATTTTGAAAGTTCTGTTTTTAGTACCTTTTATATTTTCTCTGTTTTAGGGAAGGCACAAATAAAATATATTTATGAGGGTGAGAATATAAATGATGAAATATAGCAATACATGTTCATAAATGATTATAGGAGAGTGATTATTTCTCATGTAATATGAAGTAGCATACATTTAAAATTACCATATCCATGTCTGCTTCAGTGGCTCAGCTGATTTGAATGTCATCCCACACACCAAAAAATTGCAGGTTTGATCCCTGGTCAAGGCTCATCCCAGGTTGCATGTTTGATCCCTGTTCAGGGCATGTACAAGAGTTAACTCATCAATACTTCTTTCTCACATCACTGTTTCTTTTTCTCTTTCTCTCCCTTCCTCTCTCCTTACAATCAATAAGCATATCCTCATGTGAGGATACAAAAATAAGTTAATGAAATAAAATCACTTACCCAGTGAGACCAATTAGCTTATATGTCCTACAGCTCTAAAAGATGAACAAATAACATTACTATGGTACATAAGAAGTGGTTGCATTCACTGATGTCCTAGGCATTAGAGAATGGATATATTTGTTTATATGTCTTTTAATATGGGCACAAATAGTAGGGTATGAGAGATGACCTTTCTGCATGATGCATATATGAATGCTTTTTTTCATATGTATCAGCCTGTAAGTGTACATAGATATTGTGCTGATGTATGCATATACCTATGCACATATGTAAGTTTTTGTTTTATAATTCAAATTGTGTTCAGTTAAAACTTCATTATTTTTATGTTCCTCAGTGCCTCTAAGCACTTCATAATATTGTAGAATAAAGACTTGTTTTAAAGTTTGCATATAGACTAAGAGCAAAATTGTTACTCTGCACAAAATTTGTCCAAGGTATAAATATCAGAACTTTTTAGAAAGTAATGTATAAATCTATATGTATATATCCCACATATCAGTATATATCTTTGTATTATAATTCAAGTCATTCTTTAGGACCTTTATTGAGAAATACAAATAAATTTTTCATATTGATTAGACCATAACTGTAAGAGATGGTGAAGTTTCCTTCTCAAGGCTTTTGAAATATTTTTCCCAATTTGACATAGCTTCATTAATTTCTCTTGGTAAAATCAATTTTATTTCAGATTATTTTAATCCTAGACAATTTTACCACATTTCAAAGTAAGGAACAAACATATTATGATTTATGTACATCAACATTACTTTTTTATACTAATTCTTTTTCTAGCTAATGTGATACTGGTGCAGAAAAATTCTTCTTTCTTGTACATAATATAAATTATAAATTATTTTAACAGGGAACCAGATAGGTACAGGAGAGAACCAGACAACAGGGAACCAGAAAGGTACCTAATTATTTTCTGTGTTCTGATATCAGTACAGCTCCTACCTTGTCTCTAACACAGTCAAAATTTATAGGTTTTTTGGGGAGGTCAAGGGAACACAAATTATAGTACTGGGCAATAAACATATATAAAATGAGTGTAGAAGAGTGCATTTCTTATGCAAAAATATGAAGAAATATTCATTTAATTTCATCATACTCATTGCTGCCATTTGACTGAAAGATAATTTTGGTTTCTAAAAATGTGGTTTCTTTCATTGACATTCAGGGCATATACAAAGTGAATATTTTCATTTTGTGTGTTTGCTTAATATGGGCACATAAATTAGGGAATGAGGGGCTGACCCTTCTCTGTGAGTGTGTGTGAGTGTGTATGAGTGTATTATGCTTTATATATGCCAGTCTGTGAGGGCATATGCATATACTGTGCACTAATTTGTCTCTACCTATGCAAATACTGAAATTAATTTCCATTTTACATTTCATATTGTTCTTGGATAGCAATACATAATCTTTCCTCAGCAATTCATTGTGGTCGATGTCCACCAGAGTGGTTTATATATTCCAACAACTGCTATTACATCAGCACTGGAAAAAAAACATGGAATGAGAGTTTGATGGCCTGTGCTTCTAAGAACTCTAACCTGCTCTATATAGATAATGAAGAAGAAATGGTAAGATGTTTAATGTTTCCAACATTTTATTTAAAAGAGTATTTTATTTTATATTTCTATAGAATTCATTCATATTTTTGTATATATCTGTAATTTATTGTAAAGATTGTTAGTATTTTATTGTTTGACTCTATAACATCACAGTTTTCTTGATTTTCATAGATAATCAGGCTTCTATAATGTTTTTTTTCCTAAAATAAACTTTGCTACTTCATTGTATCATGCATCATGGAGACTATAGATGTGATTGTGCGTGTTACAGACTGAAATTGGTCATGAAGTAGGTGTTGCCAGCCCGCTCCTGTGCACTCTCTCATGACTTCTCCTCTCCCCTCACTTAACCACTGTTCTGAGATTTTATATCACAAATTATTTTTGCTTAATTTTGAATTTTATGTAATGGGAATCATTCATTATGCATTATACATGTCTCCATTAACTCACTCATGGTATTTTTTCAATTAATCCATATTATTGAATGTACCTGAAGTTTGTTAATTTTCACTACTCTAGTGTATATACCTGGCATTCTTTAATCTATTCTACTCAGAATAGAGATATTTTTAATATGTGGTTGCTATGAATATTTGTTTAATAAAAATCTTTGTGTATGTCTTTTTTCCAAATAATATATATTTAAAATAATTTATACATAATAATACATATAATATATAAATTGATATACCATAAATGTTATGTTTATAATAGTATAATTATTTATAAATATAGTTGTTCTAATGGCATATGTGTATAAGTAAAATGTATTGCCATTTTGCATTAGAATGAAATTGCAGGGTCAAAAATATATGTGTATGTAAATTATCCCTGCACTCTCTAGTTTGTTGTATAAATACACATTACATCCAATAGTTTCATGATCCAAAGCTTAGTACTGCCACAAATTTTAATGCCATCAGCTCTGATCATTATATAAAAGCATCATTATGACATAAATATGTATTTTTCTCATACTGATCAATTGAACACATCTTTCAGAGCACCATTCATTATGAATTTCTGTACTGTGAAAATGAGAAGTGCCCATTCATGTCTCTTGACCATTTCTCCTGTATGTTACTTGTTATTTTCCTTCTTAGAAGTAGTTATATTTTCCATATGACTTTTTTTTGAATTTGTGAGATGCAAATGGCTTTCTTGACTGTTAATTAATTTTTTTTTCTCATATTGGAGTTTTTTAATGACCAGGATTTATTAACGTTACCATCGTCCAATATCTCATTTTGGATGTTGGTGATTATTTTGGACATGTTTCACAAGTTAGTCAAAGTTCATGAAGATAATCTACTGCATTACTCTTTATGGTTTATCTTTTTTTTTCTTTATTGATGGACTTTTACTTTTAGGTTTATAATACTTTGAGAATGTATATTTTTGTGATGCTGTGTTTGTGATGCTGTGTGGTAGAGGTCAAGTTCCCACTTTCCTGCATCATTACCTAGTTGATACAGCATAATTTATAGCAGATGATCTTTTCTACATAAACAACTTTATATACATGGGTCTATATATTTTAACATAAAATTTAAGAGGATGATCATTCATTGTGTCTCAAAAATTGTTTTTCTCTCTTCTTTTGTCTTTCTTTTTGTTCAGAGGGAATAATTACACCTAAGTCGGTTTAACTGATAAAATTCTATAAAGGTCTTTGAGGTGACATTAGTTTTTCTATCTCTTTCTCTCTACCTTCAGGAATTAATTATTTCTGTCACTCCATCTTTATTTCATCAATTCTTTCTTCTATATCTCAACATTTATGTAAATGTATTGAATTTTGTAATGTAGATAATGATTTTTCAACTGATAATTTTATTTGATTTATTCATACAGTTTTTATTTTCCTAATTGTTCTGTCACTGCCATCATATTTCCATAGAGTTATTGGAACATAGTTTTTAAAATATATTTTAGGTGTATATATATGTATAATAACTAGTATTAAATATTTGTATAAAAATCCAATTTCTTATCCCAGTGAAAGTTATTTTGTATGGGTGATTTATCCCCCTGAATATGGAAGATATTTTTTAGTTTCTTTTACATGGTTTTAAAATGTGGGTAAGTTCACATTTTCAATAACATAGTATAATAAACATGGATCCTCCTACATGCTTATTAGATTTATACTTTGTAACTTCAGTAAACTATTACTGTAGAATCATCTCTTTTGAAGTGTGCTTACTCAGTTTTTAAAATTCTTGTTATTATTTTATTTTTAGGCTCAATTACTGGGATTCCCCTTGGGCCTGCATAGCTTACTTGACAGACAATGATCTTTAAAAATTTATTCAAATACCTCAAGTCAGTATGGCTCCACCCTCTGCTACTTGCTGTACTGTGTGTGTGTGTGTGTGTTTGTAAGGGAGTACTCATAATTTTAAAATCAGTTATTCAAACAACTTTGGCTTACATTTTTTACCAGATTATTTTTGTTTCTTCTACACAGTGCAAATATTTTTCCCACCAATCAAGTAGGTGTAGAGAGTTAATATCACCTCTTGTACTGTGCTCTCATATTGAGTACCTTCCTGTTTGTAGCTGGCACTGTGCTGACACAGACCAGAAAAAGGGTGGTCATCTTCACTTTTAACCTAGTGAATTCAGCACTTTGACCTGAAAAAGGAGTGGGCAGTTTCACCACCACTTCCAGAGGTAATCAGACTTCCCCTGTGGGGACACCAGTGATGTTTCAGCATTCCCCAAATAGTAAGAATTACACTTCTTACTCAGGCACTGAGATGGGGAATGGGGGACACATGGGAGCAGTCTTAGACATGAAGACTACAGATTTGCTCTATTTTTACTGGAATCTCTAGCTGCTTTTTCCAGTAATAAATGCTCATGTTATTTTTACTCTTTGATCAAATTTCAGAGGCATGAAATTATTATATTTGTCCCTTCTTGTAATCATGCTAATACATTTTCTTAATGTGTCCAATATATAAAAGTATATTATAAATTCAATCACTCTAACCTTGAAAAAATAACTGTATTTGGTTTATCATTTTTAAAATCATCTTGAATTAGGTTGCAAATATATGATTTAGTTACTGGATATTTTATTTGATTCCATTTGAAGTCTCATAGCTTGCATATAAAACATTGCCTTTTTCAAACTGCCATATAAGAACAGTATAAAATACAAACTATAACCTATATAATTCTCTTTCTGTCTTCCAATTAGAATGTTAAAACAACACTGATATAGACCCAGGCCTGGTAGGTCCGCTGGTTAGAGCATCATTGGAATACAGGCAGGGTGCTGGTTGATGCCCCATCATGCACATACAAGAAGCTCCCAAGGAATGCCACACTAAATGAACCAACTAACTGATTGCTCACTCTCTCTCTTTCATCAATAAAAATAAAGTGAGAAACAAAACAAAGAATATCATTGATTTAAAAAGGGAAGTGAGTTAATTGGCATACATCTATTTTTTTTAAATGAAGAATGGTAAAAAATGGTTACCTATGTATGAAAATTAAGAGTAGCTTAAAAGCTTGTGCACTTTGAAACTTTATGAAAAAGTTCTTTTGTAAATTGCCAGTTATAAAATCAGTCACAGCAATGCAAAGCACAACATGGAGAATATAGTCAACAATATTTTAAAAATTATACATGGTGTCAGATGGGCTCCAGATCCATGCGGGTGGTCACCTCTGAAGCTATACACAGGTCCAAAACAATATTGAATGTGAACTGTAAAGAAAAAAACAATTTCTTTAAAAGTTGCTTTCAAAATAAGTTCTCTGAAAATAGCATTGTTGCATTTTCCTATGGCCAATTTATTAGTGTCCAAAATCATTCTCATTGTTCAATATTAACAAAACCTGCATTCAAATTCTCAATATACAAATAAAAGTCAGAGGCAAAAGAATTATAATATGTCATTTAAAACATAAAGGTATCCCTGACTGGTGTGGCTCAGTGGGTTGAACATTGTTGTATTAAGGGAAATGTCACTGGTTCAATTCCCAGTCAGGGCAGGTGCCTGTGTTGTTGCAGGATTGATCTGGGATCCAGCATAGGAGAGGCAACCCATCGATGTTTCCCTTTCTTTCTCCCTCTATTCCCCTCTCTCTAAAATTAAATAAATTGAAACTTTAATAAATAAATAAAATAAAATATAAAGGTTTAGACTTTTGTTTATCCTCCTATGGGAGCACAGTTGTAGATTTGTAGTTTTCTTTGAAGTCTTGTGCATCTCACAGCAACATGCAGGGTTCTCATTCTGATATTCTGCTGCCCTTGATTGGTGCTTGTTGGCTTGTTGCACATGCACCCCTGCATTTTCAACTTGGCTTCTAATGTGATCACACCTTTTTTCCATGAATTATCATTCCCAGACATTTTAAAAGTTTATGAATATCCATAATATCAGCTTCCAGTTGCCTAAGAGAAGACTCTTTTTATGAATAAGGTGGAGGTCATCCTCTGTAATTCCCTCATCTTGCACTTGAGCTTGAGGGTGAGTTTGGCTTTTCCAGAACACAAGGTTCCTTCCTTTGAGCTCTCCTCAGGAGTTCCACCAGATGCTCTGGCACAGGCTCCCCACTCATGCAAAACACTCTTTCTCTTTCTCAGCTGCTCACCTTTGGAGGCGAGTTGGTCAGTGATGCTCTGAATTCAGCCACTGAGAATTAACCTGTATTTTCCTTCCATGCTGTTCACTGAGGGTGGTAGGAGGAGATATGAACTGTTTCATGGACTTACCTGTTTCTTTGGCCAGTTGTTTAGAATATTGTTGGTTCTGCTGCAGCTGTTGCCTCAAATCAGGTGAATCTTGATGTGTCCCACGTTGATTCAGAGTCCTTAATTTTTTCACACAAGGTGGTGTGATCTTTGGGTGTTGGATATGCTGGGCCAGCTGGGTGGGGTGACCAAGAATTCCTGGAGTGCAGGATGTGGTTGATTGCTTATTCACTAATGTCATCAGATGTTGGTGGGCTGTGCAGTTTATTTAGCTGTCACCTCCCCCTCTATCTGTGAGCCACTTTGATTGTTTTTACAAATACAAATTAATTTTACTTAATTTCTCATAACTTTTTTTCTCATAGAATTTTTTGAACATTTTTGAAATGTTTGCATGGATTGGACTGTCCCAGAGAAATAATACTAATTCTTGGGTGTGGACAATTGGCACAACTCTCTCTTCTGAACTGTAAGTTTCTTTAGAATGCCTAAGTATTATTCCCTCATGCTTTCAAATCAGGAATTAATCTTAGAAACAAAAGGCAATGGGTAAACAAGTATGTGAAGAAATATTTAAGTGTTTTTTACAAAAAATATTAAGAAATATTCAGGTTTACTTTGTAAATATTACTTTAAATATTTGTTTATTTAAATATTAAGTTATGTATCTTCAGATTAATGATTTATTATCTCTGCATTTCAGATTTGCAAAAACTTCAGAGTTGGACAAGAATTGTGTATATTGGAATTCTGACACACACAACTTCTGCTCTGAATCCTGTCTAGAAAAGAGAACATATATTTGTAAGCACCAGTCACATTAGCTCACCTAAATTTGGTATAATGTTACTCTCACCATCCCTAAAGAACACATTTCTAGTTTCTTCAAGAATGCTACAATTATTTTTGTAAAACTAAGTTTTAAGAATTATTTTGAGATCAGTTTTGTTTTCACCACAAAAATAAAAGGAAGGTACTGACATTTCCCATGTTCCCCTGCATGCAGAGCATCCCCATTATCAGCATCACTCAGCAGAGTGGGACGTTTGTTACTGAGAGTGAGTCTGTACTGACACATCATGGTCACTTAAAAGTCCATACTTTATCTGAAGCTTCATCCTTGGTATTATAGAATTGTTTTGATATCTATATTTATGGTAACCTTTAAAATATATATCCAGGTGCATATTAAACATTTAAAAGTCTTGTTATTAGTTAAAATATATCAAGTATAAATTATGAATTTTAATATCCAGCACTGTTACTTCTAAGTCTAAAATAACATGAATAATTGTACACACAATCTTAATGTAATTTTCCCTAGCCTTTGAATGTTGAAAATGAGGACTGAACATATCAGGATATCAAAGGTGTGTAAGGCAGTGGAGTCAGGAGAGAGAAACCAGGGATGATTTAAAGAACTATTAAGTATTTTATGGGGATAGCCTACAGAGAGGGGTAGATGAAAATTACAAAATGTACCAAAGTTTTAATCAAAGAAGATTACCAAAAGGAAGAATCATATATGACCAAAGACAATCTCTTCAGCAATGGGTTTAGACTCATGTCACTACAGAGAACTCTATAGCAGACAGGTTCACTGGATGGCTCTAGGAGAGAGCAGTTCCTACTCTGCAGGCTGATGTGGGTGAGGGTGGATCTCACAGTGTGACTGGCAACTAGGGCGACCTCTCTGACAAAGTGTCAGCAGGCCCAGGTTGGAGAAGGGGAGCTCTGGCTGTGACTAGTCACAGAAACTTGCTGGGGGGTGAATACCACAAGAACTTCCTGCATGCATGCAGATGTCAGCCACAGCACTGGAGCCAAAGGAGAGAAAACAGCATGAAACCAGGGAGAGGGGTCCTTTCTCCCAGTGTCCTTTCACTGACAAAACATCAAGTGAGCTGACTGGAGAAGAGGTGGTACAATCTGTTGCCATGATCTCAGAAAGTGCAAAGCATATAGATTTGGAGCAGAGAGAACTGAATTTCTAATTGGCACTCACTCTTATTATGCAACAACACCAAGGTTTCTATAACAAAAGCCATGTGACTATACTCTACTTGCTTGGATAACAGAACCAACACAAATATCTTCTGAATCTATTTAGTGAGTCATTATCCATGATTGTAGTCATTTTTTGGTAGAGACTAGTAGTTTCATTGGGCAATAATTACTGTTCTTTGATATCTCTTATATATCTATTTTCCTCTACTGGATTTTACTTATTTTTGAACTTATCTTGTTTTATTGAATTCTTTGTCTTTCCCTTTAAACATTCTTAATTACTATGCTTAGAAACCTACATTGATAGAAAAAAATACAATGTTAAAATTAAGAATATAAAAATTAAAAAGATAACATGTCCATGTGAATTAAACATTAGTTATTGACAGAATGTGGAAACAAATTTATTAATTTGACATCATTAAGTGGTAGTTTCACTATAATTCAGTTACAAATAGTGGAAATTCTATATTTGTTTATCATATGCAAAATGAATTAATACATTCCCTATACATTCATCTGTTTAAATATATCTTGTTTATGGTCTCTGTATT